TCCCAACTCCCCTCAGGCATTTAGATCTTTTTATATTAGTCCAAAATAATTTCTAACATATTTTTTTTATTTTTTTGTTATCAAAATGTTTGATTTTGGGATTCAAATTTGAAGTTCTAAGTTTTTTAAAAATAATTGTGACTGTAATCAATAAAGAATTTACCATTTTAATTATAGCTTTTCTCGAGGGTAAGTCGAGCCATTTTGTAGCATTTATATCGGATACAAATGTTTTCCTTAAGTTTTTGAATATTTTACGAGTCTTAAAAATTAAATCAAATTTTAAGTATAAAATATATATATATTAAAGATAAGAAAAAATATGCATGATCATGATAATATGCATGAAACTTGATATTTAAATTAATAATTTATATTTAAATATGTTAAAATAAATGATTATAAAAATCAGTATAGCCTAAGTTATATTTTTTTACACAAAACTTAAAAATGCAGAGTTGTTAAAAAGTGCCACATCCTTTTTCAAAAACAATTGAGCGCCGCTATTTTTTATAATTTGGGGACCGTAGCTAGCTCTATTCTTTTTGACATGAAGCGGAAAAACAGCTCATCCACGGTTAAATTTATTATATATGTTTGAAAGATAATCTTAATTAATGCATTTGTTGAATACGATAAAAATAATGTAATTTGAATTTATTAAAATATATTATATTAGGTTCATTACAATATATATATATACACTAGATATAAAAACAAAATATAAAAGTAAATATACATATTTTAAATAAAAGATTATAATAAATAACTAATAAATGGGCTACAGGGCAAATATAGAAATATTCTTCAAAGCCCGTGAGATAGTTACTTTTTTCTTCCAATCTCCTTCAGGAAGAAAGTGTGATTCTAATGTCACAACAGAGACAAATTTAATATTTTTTAGACCTGAGTATTTAAATTTATATTTGTTTCCGCTATCGAAAAAAAAAGTTTTTGTGGGGTTAGATTTCACGAATATGATTTAAATTACATTAAATGTTTAGTTGTTATTATTTTTTTATTCGCGCCATTTTTTGAATTCAACTTATTAAACTTCTAATAAAAAGATTGTAAGAAAGATTATATCATGTTATTTTTTACAGAAGATATCGAAGAGAATAAAATGAAATTTCCATTTTAATCCTATAAAATTTTTTTTTATCTTCTAAGGAAGCAAATATTATGATCAATTTTTTTTTATTTATAAATAAAACAATATTATTCTCAAAAGTTTGTTCCTAAAATTTATAAAAACACCTAATAATAAAAATAGTATATTCTTTAATATTAAATTATAAATAGAAAAAAATGTTGTTTTGTGGATACCTTTTTATATTGTGAAAACTAAAATCAAAGGCTAAGAAGCCTCGTTATTTTTTTTAAATTGAAGAAAGTGGACGCTCTTTTTAAAAATATAATCTCAATAGCAAAAGATCGGGAGCTAGTTTCATTAAAAAGGATGTTAATAACTAAAACGTTATTCAAAAATAGGTGTATTTGTATAGGAAAAATATTTTACTTACCAAGGATACTTTTTTCTTATTGTATATGCCATCCAAATATATACTTTTAAGGGTGTTTGGAAAATATTTCTGAGTTTGATCAAAACAATATTTCCACGTAGGTTTATCGGATTTCGAATTTTCAAGATAATCTGCAACTTCTTCGTTGAATTTTTTATAATTTTTGGGCAAGAATAATATCCATTCGTGGAGAAGAGAATACATCAAATAGTCATTCACTGCTCTAACATGCCATGGCGAATATGCAAATAAAATGTAAAAATTTTATGTAATAATTTATTTTAACTCGGTTATGTCTAGTGTATATTAATTATGTTCCATTATAAAATCATAACTTTATTAGAAATGAATATGTCTATTATATAGAATAAAATGTTCTAATGAGATAATATATGGAAGTATAAACAACAATAGAAATTGAAAATTTGGGCAGCTTTAGTACCACGTCTGATTATTGAGTGACAAGGTTTTGTCAACTTCCTTGCTATAAAAAAAACCGTTGCGATTATGAGAGGAAAGATTTCATAATTCACTTGAATTTTTATCAGGAAGGGTCTTAGATAAACATGTTAATGAATAAATTATCATGCATAAATATTAATATTAAGAATCTAAATAATTGTTTAAGTTACTGACGTTGTGTACAATCAGACAATATGTCTATTGCCATTAGTCTAATATGTGCTGAAAAATTGCCTGAAATTTGTAATATAAGTATTTAATCATGTTGAAATAGAGAACATATAAAAATAATTGCCCATAAAGTCTTTGATAACTCTTATCACAAATTTTATATAAGTAGCAAAAAAATTATATTTATTATTTATTACAAAGTTTGCTAGTTTATATGCTTAAAATATATATTGTTTATAAATATTTTTATAAAAAACACAAACTGTTTTTAATAATTACATTATTGATTTTTATTTATAATTGGAAAAATGGAATAATTGTAAATAATGTGTACCCAAACTTTACCACGGTTTTGATTGTTATAATTAAATAGAAATAAAGATCATTGTAGAATGAAATCTGATGATAAATCGAACTCAGGTATTATTTCAAATATTTATTCATCTCTTGGGATCTTCCACTAATTACTGGATTGTCAATTCAAGGCGAAAGCATAAGACGTTGATTGCCTTGATCATATCATTGATTCCTTAGAAAAATAGAACTTATCCTGGAGAATTTTCCTGTATCTCTTTTACATAAGGTATTTTATATGAATTAATTGCAGGGTCTTGATATAATTATTTTTGTAAGCAAATCAGTAGTGCTTCAGAGAGTATGACCAAATCAAAGCTTACTATCACCTCTCTTCGAATATTTTTATAGCTATTATTGAAGATTTTGCCCATAATAATGGAAAAGTATTCTCCAAAAGAAATATTGGACACCGGATGGTAACAGAATTACGATGGAATGAGAGATGGCTTTTATTAACCTCTTCCTTTCTATTCAGTTGCACAAATGCAATAAGGTTGAAGATGAAATGATAGTGGAGTTAGGTTAAGATTGTAACAAAGTTTGATATAGGCCTCATCGTAAGGTAGAGAGAATAGTTGGTTATCTAATCTATATGAAACCTTTAATATTTTGTTTATGAATTATTTTGGCAATGATTCGGCTTTAATATTAATGTGAGATTTTTTCTTTAAGTCATCAAAATTGAATGGATCAGCAATAAGAAGTGCACCGTTTATTTGTCGAGCAGGAGCTTTAGATAAAGTTTTATCAAACACTTTGAATATATTAAAGCCATAAAAAAATCTGACCCTTTTCACGAAATTAGTAAAAGGGAGATGTAAAATGTTATTTTTTTCACAAGATAATGAGTAAGGGTAAAGCTCTACCCTTTTAGATCTAAACAAGTAACATGTTTCATTTTTAAAGTAACTTTTACATTATTAATAATATGATATAATATTGATTTATTAATAAAACCTAGTCTTTCTTGTTAGATCAATACCAATATCAATTATCAGATAAATAAATCCCAGTCTTTTTTTTTAAATAATCAATACTAATATCTATTATTAGTTTAAGTTAAGGATTAAAATATTAGCAAGAATTTTAAACCATCGCTCTCTTTGTGCCCTACATTTTTATACATAAACATGTGCAAGATTATGAACTAAAATTTTTTTAATTAATAAAATAAAAATATCAGCATCAGCAATCTTTAATAAGCTACCTAATTATAAATACACCAAACTTAAACAAGCCAAAATTCATGGTATCAATGAAACTTTATAATTAATTACAAATTATTTTTATAAAAAAAATCTCATAAAAGAAACCAAAATGGACAAACAAGCAGTGAAAAATGATAATTCTTCTACAAGACAATTTATAAAAACCAATATTTAAAATACTAATATTTACATTGGGCCTAAGAGAATTCACTAACCTTGGATTTAAATAGAAACAAATTTGATTCATGTTGAAAATAGTTATAAACATCAACAATAGCTTTATTGATAATAATTATATAATTCAACATCTCATAAACATAACCTTTTTCTCCATCACTTTGATATTCCCATTTTATTAACCAAATTAGTTATACGATATAAAAGTTAATATATTTTAGTATACAGTGTTGTACAGATTTAAAACATTTCAACATTTTTTTATTTATTTAAAAATAAAATCATTTAACTTATTAAAATTTTTGCAATTTATAATTTAAAATATTGAAACGTTTTCTAACAAATTTGCACAATTCTTGCATTAATATTATTATGAAATTAATATATTATATTTGAAAGTTCTAAATATCTTGAAATGATTTATATTTAAAATAAGATTATATTTGAATTATCATTTTTAAAAGGCTGGTAGGATTTAGATATATTAGCTACAATGGTCTTTTTAATTATTTTTCATAGAAATTTATCTATTTACTTAGTTAAGCTTTGAGCTATTTGCTAGTAATAATATAAATCTTATAATTGGTTTCTCAAAAATTCACTAATGTGTAATAAATATAATAATAATAGTATATATGTCCTATTGAGTATGGAAACCATGATTAAGGGTTCTATCGATTATATTATTTGCTAAAGGTGATTTTTAAATTTAAAAAATCAGATTTGACAGGAATTGTATTTCAGAATGTATAGAGTACCCAAACTGTAAATTTCAAAATTATGGCATGAAATTTAGAACTACTCCTAATTTATATTAACTTTTTTTATGCATTATAATTTAAAAGATACTAAAATGTTTATGTAAATTGGCTGAAATTTATAGTATAAATACTTTACACATGCTAGAATGCATTTACGGTTTAATCGGCTTTTAAATTTTGAATCGCCCTCGGTATAGGAATAGATTCTGAATCCTCACGGATTCCATATTCTAATACGACATATGTATATATTGATATATATATATATTAACTTGAAAAAATAAAGATTGTCACTATTAGAGGATATTAAACTTTGTAATCTTTTAAAATAATTGATCCCCATAAAATGAACTACGGTATCAGAATTGTTTGAAAGGCCGTAAGTTGCAAATATATCCGGTAGATATACTGAAATCTATTAAAAATAATTTTAAAAATTAACTATAGATTAATTAATATAGTAAAAATATATTAGGCCTCATTTTTAGTAAACACTATCTTCAAACATTGCCTTATTTAACTCAGCGTTATGACAACTGATTTAGTTTTAAAAACTAATTTAAGTTAAAGCTAAAATAGTAAAATATTTAAGAAAAATCATTTACCTTTTTTTTTTATCAAATTCGCAATTTTTATAACCGTATTTCATATTTTATCGACGCATTGCAACCTATGTTTTTCAAATCTTATTCCAGCGTTATCATCATAACGTTCCATATTTATAGTTTTATACCTTATTTATTTTCTTAATTTTCTTATATAGCAAATGTTATAAACGAGATCTTAATCTTATTAGTTTTTATGAACCTGACTGCAAGTATGTAATATTTCAAATTAAAAATTATATTTTTTTGGTGGAAGTTATATTTATACTATTTTTTTTATAATCTTAAATAGTTCTAAGAATGACTTATTCCTTTATTTAAAATAACTTTTAAATAAAAAAACTTACGAAAGGAAATTCTTGATTTAAATCGGCTATGTTGAGAATCCTTTCATCACCCATTGTGTCATCGATTTTCATAAACTATAAAATATTATTTAGATAATCGTAACTATTATTAGTTACAAAATATATTACATGACTGAGATTCTTTTCGAAATCAATAACCATGTTTATTTCATTGGATGTTAAATTTAAAAAATTTTCCAATATAAATGTCACATGTTCTTTGTTAAAATCTAAAACATCTGGGTCGGAATAATCTTCATAACTAAACTTAGTAGTGCCAGGTTTAATAGTTGTTATAATTTTATTGTTATTTATTAAATTAGATTCAACAGCTATCAAGACAGAAGAAGTCCCTATTTGAGACATTCGTTGGAAAGGCCAACAAAATGGAATTTGTTCTTTTCCAGCCTTAACATGACAATCTTTGAGATTTAAATTAATGTAGTCGATAATATCTTGTCGAATGGAGTTGTATTTATTTTCTTTCAAAAATTTCGGAATATTTTTCCATAAATCATCTCTAAATATATTCTCATAAACGAATGTGTAATTATATGTAAGAGCTCTGTTTTTTGGCCTAAATCGGTTTACACAAGACTGGTGAAAATTGGCCACGTTTTGGTAAAAATTGGAAATATTAGATTGCTTGGTTGCCACTGCATACGTAATTTAACATAATTTTTTTATAAAAAAATTAATTCAGAATTTATTAAAAATAATATATTATTATTGATGTTCTTAAAATTGAATTTTTGCGATAAATTAAAAAGCTTATGATAAATATTAATATTTAAAACTATTGACTCTAATTAAAAATATTTTTAACTTTGCAGTTATTTAACGTATATTAGAAATCTGGTTTAAAACCTTATATTAATACCAAGATCAATGAGGATTGTGGTTCTTTTTTTCAAATTATACAATCAGCTTAAATCGGGATATTCTGAGTTTTTTCTTTAAAAAAATACCTTTAATTTATTTTTCTCTGTTTTTATCTCTATATTCTTAAATATCTTTTTTTTGCATGACAAAGCATGTCATTTGGATTTTTATCAACTTTAAAATTAAATAAAAATATAAAAAAATCTTAATAATATAAATTAATTATTACATCTTAATCTAAATAACTGTTATTACCTATAATTATTATATGTTTATACCCAAACAAATGCAACTTATTACAATGAGTGTAAATTTGATGAAAAACAAGATTAATGTTATTTTTATTTTTTCTATCAAATTTCCTATCATCTTAATGTTAATAAATCGAATCGAAGGAGACTATATACCTCTAATGTTAAATTATATTTTTATTTAAAAATTTTTTTATACATCAATCAGATTCGTTCCCCAAATTTAACGTTCCAAAAGCAAACTTTCTTTCCTACAGTCTCCCTTCTATCTTTAATTTTATATTACAATTCTTTTAATATATAAAACTATGGAGCATAATTTTTTTTGAAAAAAAATCAATTTTTATGTAATATGACAAAATATATTTTTGAGAAAATAATAAAAAAAATAGAAAAAGACTTCAATTTAGGGTCAAAATCATGTATATTTATAATATTAACAGAAAGACAAAGTCGAGTTTTTACAACCAAGAGTTTTAATATTGGAATCGATGTTATGATTAAATGAATAAAAAATCTTTAAAATACCTTCTAAGTTTTGATATGTAATGTGAAAAATGGAAAATTGAAATTTAATTTGACATGAATATTAATTATTTCAATATTCTAATAACGAAATTTAACTAATGGAGATAATTCTTGTATTCTATATTTCATTACTTATTATTGTGGCAATTATATGGATTCAAAATAGATAAGATTATTAAATTTATAACTCTTTCATAATTATAATCTCACTACTTATTGTTGCGATGTCCAAATTGATCGACATCTATTAACTTATCGCAATCTATTAAATAAAAGATTGATTTTTTTTTATTCTTTAAATTATATTAACCTTAACCTCGCGGACTCTTTTTATAATATTAACTTAATAATTCGCATAAATTTCTTGATAGATTTTGTAAACTATTTAAACTTAGAAATTTGTGTACATACAGTGAATAATTTTTTTTGAAATAAAATATAAATTAAAATTTGTTTAACCTTTTCTTCTAATTTTTTGCCAACCTTAACATGGTGGCAGTAGCTATCTTTGTAAATTTAAATTTTATTAAAATAAAATTTCATATTTCTAAATATAAAATAATTAAATTAAATTTAAAGAAAACAAGAATTAAATTTTTTTTCCCAATTAATTAAATATGACGGAAGATAAAAAAATTAATGTTTTTAATGATACTATATCGTATAAATACGAATTTCCTAAATATATAGGAAACATCGATATATATTTAACCAAAATTGAACTTATTTTTAAAAAAAATCAGCACAGATGAGGACAATGCCACGACCTTACTTCATAATTTACCAGATGACGTATTTTCAAAATTACAGTCGATATGCACTGAGTCCGATCTCAGGAAATCTTCGATACTCATCAACAAACTTAGATTATTACAGCCTTCCAAGATTCGAAACAAAAATTAGCGATTTCTATGCAGCGGTTCAAAAAGAGGGAGAAAGTTTTTTAGCTTGGGTTACCCGTATTTGTCAACTCAATATGGACTGCAACTTTATCGGCTATAACAGGGTATTAGAAAAAATAAAAGTATCAAGCTTTTCTAAGTAAATTAAATACAGAATTAAAGATTTACTCATTTTAGATGACATTATAAAGGTGGGCAAGGAATTAGATGAAACAGACATCGAAACATCTATACATAAGATTGTTATCAAAGAAAATACACAATCCGATCTAAAACATTTGGAGGGAACAAGACAAGGTAAGAAAGTTCATGAATTAAAACCAACTAATATTAGATGTGACAACACACAGATGATGCCATATGTTGAGTGCAACAGATATCATGATAATAATTACAGCCATCAGTTTAGACAACCATGGCAGACTCGACCATATTATGGTAACTTAAGATTCAACAACCACTATCATTTTCCAAGACGAAATTATACTAGATTTTGTGATCAAAATAGACGGGAAACTTTTTATAATCACGACACAAGAGATAACAATAATTATAGATTTAATAGTAAAGATAAAGGATATAATAATAATAACAAGCCTTTTAATGATTTCAAAAACCACAACAGATTTGACAACACCAGACAACCGTTTAAAAATTTTAGAGATTATAATAGATCTCATCAACAATTTTACGATCATGACAATAAAAATTACAAGAATCATAATCCTAGACACCAAGTACCTTATTCAAATAAAATTAATACAATTGATATAGAAGAGATCGAAGACGACAAAATCATATCAATCGATAAGAAAGATTATAATTTGTTAAATATTGATAAATAACGTAGATAACGAAGTACAAAATGTTAAAGATGACGCATACGTGGTGAGCATCAAAATTAATAACATCTTGACTTCACTACAAGTGGATATGGGCACGAAATTCACAATTCTACCAAAATATATGATTGAGAAAGTAGGCATAAAAAACATTACGAAGTCCAACATTCAGCTATCTGGTTATGACGGCAAGACCATACAAGTGCTAGGCTCAACACGACTTAATGTAGAATACGAAGGAAGTTCCAAAACTTAAGATGCATTGATAGTAAACAGTAACAAGATGCCTTTATTAGGAAGATCTTGGTTGAAACATTTTAAAAACATACTTGAAAGATTTATAGGCTTAATTGACACGGATCATAAAAACGATTTGGCGGAATTATATCCAATTGTAAGTCTAAATTAAATAATAAACCTGTTATAAAAACGCAAGTCAGGTTACGACTAAAATCAAATGCTAAGCCAAAAATTATAACACCGAGAAGGGCACCTTATTCTAGAGTAGATATTATAACTAAAGAATTAAACACCTGGCTGGAAAACATAATCATCGAGCCGGTAAAAGACGTTAGATGGGCGAGTCCACTCACACCAGTTTTTAAAAATAATGGGAGTCTCAGATTGTGCGTCGACTTTAAAGACACAGTTAACCCAGCGCTTGAAGATTTTAAATACCCCATACCCAGAATAACGATTTGATTGCCAAGTTAGCTGGAGGAAAATTTTTTAGTAAGATTGATTTCAAACAAGCCTTCCTGCAAATTCCTATTCACAAAGACTCAAGAGATTTGCTAACTATATCCACGCATAAAGGATACTTTAGATTTACGAGACTTCCGTTCGGACTGAAAACGTCTTCAGCCATATTCCAACAGACTATGGAACAGGTTTTCGGAGATTTAAAAGATGTTATATTCTACATTGACGACTTGTTAATTACAGGTGATAACGATGAGATACATTTGGAGAATATTAAAAAAGTTTTCGAAAAAATCATCAAGTATGGATTAACCCCCAATTTTGAAAAAAGTTTGTTCATGCAAGATAAAATACGGTTCTTGGGGCATGATATTGACAGGCTTGGCGTACATCCCAACAATGATAAAATAAAAGCCATTATTAGTATGCCGGAACCAAAAAATTCAGAAGAATTATCTACTTTCTTAGGCATGGCGAGCTATTGCCGTAAATTTTTAAACAGTTTTGCGGATCTGGCAGATCCACTATACAAAATAATCAACAAAGATAAATGGTCTTGGGATACCGAACATCAAGAATGTTATAAAATATTAAAAACTTTAATCAGTCAACCTCCCACATTGAACTTTTTCAATCCTGATTTACCCATAGGTATAGCTGCGGATGCATCTAAACGTGGTTTGGGAGTTATTTTATTTCATTTAGAAGGGGACGGCAGAGAAAAGCCGATAGCTTTTGCCTCAAGATATTTACTTAAATCCGAAAGAAATTACACTAACATTGAACGCGAAGCATTGGCGATTATTTTTGCGATGAAAAGATTTCAAGAATATCTTATCGGAACTAAATTTACAATCATCACCGATCACAAGCCGTTGATTTATATATTTTCCAAAGGTTTAAAAGAAAATTTATCAATGTCGATGAGGTTGCAGAAGTGGAATGTTGCAATGGGAGCTTACGATTTCGAAATACGACATAGAGCGGGTAAACACAACACAGTACCAGATTGTTTGTCCAGATTGCCATTAACATCTTCAGAAGAAGAAATACACAATATGGATGATATGAAAGAAAATAATGATTTATGGGACGTACCTATTAACTTTAAAATGATCGAAA